TACTTAGGCCGCTACGTGTACTTAGGCCGCTACGTGTACTTAGGCCGCTACCCGTACTTAGGCCACTACGTGTACTTAGGCCGCTACGTGTACTTAGGCCGCTACGTGTACTTAGGCCGCTACGTGTACTTAGGCCGCTTCATGTACTTAGGCCGCTACGTGTACTTAGGCCGCTACATCATCCACACTGTATGTGCATGATTAATGATAAGGATAACTTATATTTGGGTGATGAAAGATAAGGTTGACGTGTGTCTAGCTGGATGACGTGGATGATGAATGATGCCTGGACTATGTATAAAAGTTTTAATAAAGTCATGTAGATCCCTTGGGGATTAAAATTTGAAAGAGTTTAATTTTTTTATTTAAAAAATTCAAAAATTTAAATTTGGGGATTAAAAATTTTAAATTAAATTTAATTTCAATTCCCCGGGGGGTAGTGGGGTCTACGATTGGATGTGTTTAAAAGTTATAATAAAGTCATGTAGATCCCTCGGGGGTTAAATGATCTGTGTCCCCGGGGGGATTAGGGAGCTACAACAGCCGCCATCTTGCGCGGGGGGCGCTCCCGCCCCCCCTCCCGCGCTTCCTGTTCCGTCGCGGGAAAAATCAAGAAAAAAAATTCCCACCGCGGGCGTCGCTTCTTCCGATCCAGCGGAGCAGCGCGAGGTTAAAGCCCCCGCCACCTGGAGCATGGAGCGTGGAGGGATGGAGCGTGGAGGGCTGGAGCGTGGAGGGTGGAGGGATGGAGCGTGGAGGGCTGGAGCATGGAGCATGGAGGGCTGGAGCATGGAGCGTGGAGGGGATGGAGGGATGGAGCATGGAAGGACTGGAGAATGGAGGGTGGAGGGATGGAGTGGTGGAGCATGGAGTGATGGAGCATGGAAGGACTGGAGCATGGAGGGTGGAGGGATGGAGGGGTGGAGCATGGAGGGATGGAGCATGGAGGGATCGAACATGGAGGGGGTGGAGCATGGAGGGTGGAGGGGCTGGAGCATGCAGGGATGGAGCATGGAGGGTGGAGGGGATGGAGCGTGGAGGGCTGGAGCATGGAGGGGCTGGAGCATGGAGGGATGGAGCATGGAGCGTGGAGGGCTGGAGCATGGAGGGGCTGGAGCATGGAGGGGCTGGAGCATGGAGGGGTTGAGAATGGAGGGATGGAGCATGGAGGGGCTGGAGCATGGAGGGGTTGAGGAGGAGGGAGGGAGCATGGAGGGGATGGAGCATGGAGGGATGGAGCATGGAGGGATGGAGCATGGAGGGATGGAGCANATTTGAGACTTGTTGACATTTGAGACTTGTTGACATTTGAGACTTGTTGACATTTGAGACTTGTTGACATTTGAGACTTGTTGACATTTGAGACTTGTTGACATTTGAGACTTGTTGACATTTGAGACTTGTTGACATTTGAGACTTGTTGACATTTGAGACTTGTTGACATTTGAGACTTGTTGACATTTGAGACTTGTTGACATTTGAGACTTGTTGACATTTGAGACTTGTTGACATTTGAGACTTGTTGACATTTGAGACTTGTTGACATTTGAGACTTGTTGACATTTGAGACTTGTTGACATTTGAGACTTGTTGACATTTGAGACTTGTTGACATTTGAGACTTGTTGACATTTGAGACTTGTTGACATTTGAGACTTGTTGACATTTGAGACTTGTTGACATTTGAGACTTGTTGACATTTGAGACTTGTTGACATTTGAGACTTGTTGACATTTGAGACTTGTTGACATTTGAGACGTGTTAACATTCGAGACGTGTTTACATTTGAGACTTGTTGACATTTGAGACGTGTTTACATTTGAGACTTGTTGACATTTGAGACGTGTTGACATTTGAGACGTGTTCACGTTTGAGACTTGTTAATAAATCATGGTCTTATATCATAAAAGAATGGTCCACATTAATTAAAAATTGAGGAACACGATAATTTGGCATCGAACAAGAGGTGAAATTAATTATGGTTTGACTTCCATGACGAATTATACATTAATGATCAGTTGACAATAAAGGCATGATTAAATTGTACATCCGTCGACGTAAATAAATGAAGAATAGGTGGAGGTAAATGGAGCGAGTTTAAGAAGATGGTGCTATCTGAATAATCTGATACTGTTATATAATGCAACTTACTTCTGAGAAAATGTGAACTTGGGAGAAATAAACTTTGAACTTTTTAGGAATGAAATCAATAACAACAAATAATGAATTTATAGTACAGAAAACATCTCAATTTATTTTTTTATCGTGTCGTTATATTCGTGACCAACAAATTTTAAATGCAAAAATCGGCACGTTCCGCAGGCCAAGAAAACTGGTGCTACGAGATCTTTATCCGTATTTGAAATTATTGGTTTCATTTCTGAACCAGAACAGACCGACTGCTTGGAGGGGGTGGAACATCCATCCATGCCTTTATGGTATCCCAACACAAACCATAACACTGCCCACACACACTGAAGCCTGCGCCACATGCATATACCTCCCTTCCTTCAAACTTGCCATTTGCTCACTATACCTCCCTCCTTGTACAGACAACAAAACTCTCCTCACCAAACTGACAGACATACTCCAATTGCTCACTACACCTTTCATCATCTGCATCGATGCAAATGCCCACCACAAATCCTGGGGATCTTCCTACTCAGACCAGCAAGGCCGGCTCAGAGCAGAGTGGCTTCACAAAAATAACCTCATACTGGCAAACACAGGGACAGGAGCACCCACACACATAAGCCCAACAGGTACACTCACACTGTCACACACATTGACCTCACCATAACTACACCTACCCTGGCTCCCTCCTTAACATGGGAACCAGCTCCTGATCCATACCACAGTGACCACTTCCCCCTCAAAATAACCATTAATAGCATAAACATACCCCATCCCTCCAGGCCCAGATGGATTCTAAACAAAGCTGATTGGGCTGCCTTCCAAAAACATGTAGACCTCCCATATAATAGCGGTTTCAGCGTTTAGTAGGCCGTAGGCCTGTCGCCGATTCTCAAGATCGTAGAACATTCACAGCATTTTGCGGTCTCGAACTCGCAACTCACTGCTACAATTCTGCTGTGCTTAACCGCCCGGCCTCCTTGCCGATTCTGACCAGAAACTGTCGCAGGTAGCTGGGATCGAACCTGCGCCTCTCTGCGCCAATCATGGTACTCTGAACTGTAACCACTGGGCTGTTACTTGAAATAGCAGTAACTGATGTTAAATATTAATTAGTTTCGCATAGCGCAAATATAACAAGCAACGCAAACAATTATACAGCGGATTTAAAGTCAACAATGTTCGTGGCAGAGAACGTACATTACATAACGACAGCGGTTAGAACATTTCAGATAGACGGGTACATTGACACTGATACGGTGTTGATTGTTAAAGTCAGACCATCAAACGTCAGTTGTCATATAAAATGAGCTTTATTCATTTAGAAATAAGTACTATTTTACTTCACTCCTCCCAAAATACGTCGCTTAGTCCGAAAATAATTTTCTATTCAAACGAAATATAAACCTATTAAAGCGAATATTCATACACTACTCTGCTTATTAATAACTGTAGCAATCTGGAGGTCTTCGTATTTTTGTCGATTATCTGGGGACGGGAGAAGGAACCAGTTCAGTTTCCTCATCTGCTTGTTCCATTGTCTGCTGGGACGCTGGTACAAGTTCCCCGTCATCCTGCAGTGGGGCAGTTTGAAGGTAGGTACCAGGAGGATCGAGGGTTTGATCCTGACGAAGTGAAGTCGGATCTCGTTGGAGAGGTGAAGTCGGCTCACGGACCTTTGCGTTGTCTACTAAGCCGCCGAGTGGAGAGTCCGAAGACAGGGCTCTCGGTCTTGTACCGACACGGTCTCTGGCATGAGAGTGTGTGAGGTAAACATTGTGGTTTTATGTTTTTCTAAAGCGTACTTTCGATTCGAAAGTTGATGGCAAAATTGGCTGCTTCTACAAGGGGGGGGTGCAGCAAAGTAGAGAATGTTTGCTACTCGTATTTCAATATCTAACTCCAGGTGGCCATCCGTAGTCTCCACTCACGCTTCTTCATGATTAGTATAACTCGCGCCGACATTTTTCTTAAAGTTGTGTGATTAAAATAACATAGTTTTGGTGTGGCGTGTGATGTTCAAAACACTATTGCGAAACATTCAGCTGTTCAAGTCAAGCGTTCGCTTCTGTTGACTAATCTAACCTGTGTCCAGCTCATATTCCACCTTGTGGTAATATTGTCAGTATGGGGAGTGATGGAGAGCGCCTGTGAGCTGCTACGCTGCAAACTGAACAAATGTGTCCCATTATCCAATAGCTTTAACTTGATATTTTACTCAGGGTTTGATATTTTACTTCAAATTTCTCCACTGCTGCGTGAGAGCTTCAGCATGACTTTGTTCTCTTGTTTACGATTGATTTTAACGAATAATTTTCCCGTAACTGCTGCGTAGAAGCAAGTAGTAGCTGCAACCGCTTCTATTTGGGTTCATAATAGCTGCGTTAGCCATCGTGAGGAGTACATTAGGCTGGGACTTTAACAATCCTGATGGCAATGTCATTCCTATGCCATCGCCACTTACAGACACAAGCCTCGTACCCAGGCTAAAGGTGCTTAGACACGGGGCTATTAGTTGTGTCTACTAGGCGACGCAAGTAAAATTTGTAATGCTTGACGTGTTCAGAGGCAACTAGCTGGTTCATTGCAGGCAGAGTCCTCGAGTTGTTTTGAAGCAGTCTATTGCGCTCAGTAGCGGCCCGGCCGTCATACCGAGCATAGCTGCGTCGCTCTCTCTCTCGCCCACTGTAGCGCGCACTGCTGTCTTGCTCTCGCATGCCTCCACCGTGCCTAGGTGCGTGTTGCTACTTCACCGTGTTGGTGCAGTGCCCTAGCTTACTCGACAACTCTCAACGTCGCACTGACGCGGGTGCGGTGTACCGAAAACACTTTACTCGTGTATAGGCTCGCAACCTGCGAAACTGTAGTAGAAGCAACTAATCGCCCCGTGTTTTAACACTTTAAGAGTCGATCTTCTTGGCGCATCTTCTTATATGCTCTTTTTTGGCATCGAAATTTAAATTCTTATCATTTTCTTAGATTTTGGTCAGAGTAAATTTAAGAGATTCATTCAGCTCCGATCAAAAGCAAGGACGTTTTACTCGTCTATTTTTTATTATACATGAAACAGGTTATGAAAAGTAAATTTGCCTTGGTTTTCAGTGAAGTTTTCAAAATTTATCATGATACTAGACTGAAAAGTAGATTTGTTAACGATAAATATGTTGTTTCAAAATAATAATTTTGTTTCAAATGATATAATTGATGCGATAAAATGTCATGGGTAACTCGTTGAATGCTCACGGAGGAACAATGTCCATATATGCAACACAATGGCTGGGACCATTAGAACGAATTTGAATGGAGCTACCGAAATAGTAAAGTCTGGTGTAGGAACACAATGTTGCCCTAATACAACGGACTAAAAATACAATCTGTAAACATCCTTATTTGATATAATCCGTCTAAACTATTCCCCATTAACCGTTTAGGAGTATTTCCTTTATACTCACCAGTCATTTAATATTCACTGCAATGATGTGGGGAGTTAAATCTGTGAAATAAATCAGCAAAGGAGCAGTTGCTTCTTCGCTAGGCCACCACATCCTCATCTGCCAGCGCCTGACTAAATCCAATTGATTGGATAAAGCAGCGCCATGGCGCCCGCGCTGCCCTCCCATTGGCTGCTCTGTTGGATGAAGCAGCGCCACGGCGCCCGCGCTGCCCTCCCATTGGCTGCTCTGTTGGATTAAGCAGGGCCACGGCGCCTGCGCTGCACTCCCATTGGCTGCTCTGTTGGATGAAGCAGCGCAACGGCGCCCGCGCTGCCCTCCCATTGGCTGCTCTGTTGGATTAAGCAGGGCCACGGCGCCCGAGCTGCTCTCCCATTGGCTGCTCTGTTGGATGAAGCAGCGCCACGGCGCCCGCGCTGCTCTCCCATTGGCTGCTCTGTTGGATGAAGCAGCGCCACGGCGCCCGCGCTGCTCTCCCATTGGCTGCTCTGTTGGATGAAGCAGGGCCACGGCGCCTGCGCTGCCCTCCCATTGGCTGCTCTGCCTGCGACACGAAGGTTGGCGTTGGGGCGCAGTGCTTCAGGAAGAACGTTTGCTAGATTAGGCAATACTTCAAAATCCCAATTCACTTTATTTTACTTCCCTAAAAGTTTGAGCTAAATCATGCTATATAAAATGAAATTTCAGACCAACT